GGTAGGTGGGGTGAGGTGGGGTGAGGTGGGGTGAGGTGGGGTGAGGTGGGGTGAGGTGGGGTGAGGTGGGGTGAGGTGGGGTGCGGTGGGGTGAGGTGGGGTGAGGTGGGGTGAGGTGGGGTGAGGTGGGGTGAGGTGGGGTGGGGTGGGGTGAGGTGGGGTGAGATGGGGTGAGGTGGGGTGAGGTGGGGTGAGGTGGGGTGAGGTGGGGTGAGGTGGGGTGAGGTGGGGTGAGGTGGGGTGGGGTGCCAGAGGGGTTAGCGGACCAGAAAGCAGCCGGGGTCCAAGATTATGTTGTGTTGTGTGAGGGTGGTGTGCAGGTAGTACAGATAGGGTAATAAACGTGCTAACCTATGGCAGATCCGGCTGCATCTCAGGCTACCTCCCCTCGCATTCCCCCCTTTTCTCCGCCCTCCTCCTCACCATCCTGCAACGATGTACTCGCAGCCGCTGCCCCGCCTCCTCCTCGTCCCGCACCGCTGCATCCGACCACAACCGCTCAGCCACCGCACTTGCGCGAGGCCACGTCCTGGACATGGAGGCAAAACAATACCAACGGAACAGCAACGGTAACGGTAACGGTAACGGTAATGCGCCGGCTCCCGACCTAAACCAAGCCGGCCCGGAGGAAAGTTGAAAAAGTTGCTCCAGAGGCGCGTCAGTCAGTCAGTCAGTCAGTCCGGTACGCCCCCAAGGTACAGGGGGTACGGGGGCGAGCCAGTAGCCCCTTTCCCCATATTGCTTGGCTGGTTTGAGATTGACCGATTCCACAGGTTGACAGATATACAGAACGATATACAGGTTCTTGATGGGCAGGTGACCAGACAGTTGATGTTTGCACTCCTGCACCCACCCACCCTGTTTTACCTCTATTATACCCCGCATTACCTCCACATTAACCCCCCAAACCCCGCATCCCACTCCAGCCCCCTGTCTGCACTTCTCCCCTCGTATCTCCTCTCCCCCGTCCCACCTGGAAATTAGGTTAGTCGCGTCGACATACTCCCCCCACATGCACGCTTCGCCTGGGGAAGGGGGGGGGAGAGGGTAGAGTGTGGAGGAAGGGTGTCAAGGGAAGCAGCATCGCACCGCCGGGGGGAGCGCCGGGGAGCAACGTAAGTACGTTTGGACGACAGCAGCTCATACGGCAAGAAGCCCCCGATGGCCCAAGATTCACCAGATGTTCACCAGACCCCGCCCGTTAAGCAGTAAAACGTTCACGTGCATACTAGTACTGCTTGGCTTGGCTTGGCTTGCCTTCTCGTTACGCACAGCGAGCCGGCCAGTCGGTAGCAAGGCAAGAAGGCAACTAGGCAAGGGCAAAAGAAGGTACGGAGGCTAAGAAATAGGTTATTAGCCATAGCCGTTCAGCCCCCCGGTCACTCACCCCCCAGCACTCGCGCCTTCTGCTCCTCACTGCCCTCGAACCCCAGGGGCTCCTGCGAGTAGAACCGCCGCCAGTCCTCACCCCAGCTAATCCAGTCCAAGTACCTGACACACGCAACACGGACCGGTGAGCAGGTTGACAGCGGGCCCCCCGGGGGGGGGGGCGGGCAGAGAGGGAGAGGTCTGGAGATCATATATGCTATACAGCGCAAAGTGCGCAAAGCATTATAAGCTGCCGACGTAAACCCAAGCCGGAGGGAGAGAGGGAGGGGCTCTTTGGGGCGGAGGGTTCCGACGGTCCATCTAAGGAAGAGAGAGAGAGAGAGAGAGAGGAGACATACACACACACGCACAAAACAGGATACTTGAGGCAATTTGAGCCCCGTGTAACTTCCTTGTGCTTTCTGCTGCTCCCCAATTCGAACACCTACATTATACCCAGCTGCGTGCCACTACTTCCTCATTCACTCATCAACTCACCATCCGGAGGAGAGGATAGCCTGGAAGCCCGCGGCCGTCACCGCCGCCAGCTCCTCTGCCTGGGTCCGCCTGCTGGCGCTACTGCCGCTACTGCCGCCGCCAGGAGCCCCATCCGCCGCCGCAACTGCCTCACGCAGCCTCTGCAACTCGGAACGGAGCTCCGGATCCGGATCTTGGTGGTGGTGGTGGTGGTGGTGCTGCTGCTGCTGCTGCTGCTGTTGTGCTGCCGCGGTGGCGGAAGGCGATGATGATGATGATGATGATGATGACGAAGATGGGGTTCCCCGGCCGATTCCCCGGACAACGGGATGCAGGTAGGGCTGCAAGTACTCGACACCGTCATCCTCGTGCTTGCCCTGGTAGTACCTGGTGCACGGAGTGCAGGGTATTATAGTGTATAGGGTAGGGGTAGGTGAGTGTTTGAATTCACGATCGGCGGCGCGCCGGCGCGCCGCCGTCCGTGCTTCTATCGCTGGGGGACATCGGGCTAAGCGGGCGCGAAAGGCGTGCTATTACGGCTGGAACCCTCCCAATATATAGCTGTTAGTTGGTTGGCCCTATAGCTGTTTGCCCGTTCCGTCCGAAAAGCGCTAGGTGGTCCGTACTACACTCCACGGACTTACCTCAGCCGACGGCCAAGTCGGAGCCGGCGGTACAGGTCGTTATCGGCATCGTCGTAGCCGGCGCCGACGGCGTGGTGGGCGCCGCCGCCGCCACGTAAGCCGACTCCTCCACCTAAGCCGCCTCCGCCTCTGCCTCCGCCTCCTGGCGCCCGTTTCTTCATCTTCTTCATCTTTTTCATCTTCTTCATCTTTTTCATCTTCTTCCGCTTCCGTGGGCCGCCGGCCTGTCCGGGTCCGGATGTGTACGGGTGGCGGCATGATGCCAATGCTGCTGCTGATGATAACGATGGTGATTATTATGATAACGATGGTGATGATGATGATGATGATGATGATGATGATGATGAGGGAATGATATTTATGATGTCGTGTGCTAGATGGTCAAGGTGAAGGTGAAGGTCAGACCAAGTCAGCCACTACCTCTGCTGAGAGGCCCCTCCAGGGAGGGAGAGGAGGAGCGGATGAGGCCAGCTGAGGAGCAGTGATGACCCACCTCCTCAGCACCACCATCGAAGCCGCCGCCGCCGCCGCCGCCGCCACCGCCTCCCCGAACGGCTCCCACCCCTCCTGCCACCACCGCCGGCTCCTCCTTGCGCCTCAAGAGACCCAGCAGCCCCTCCATAAACAGCAACTGCCTGCCCGCCGCCACCTCCTGCACACATATACGTGTCCGTGTGTCTCTCGGTGTATGTATGTCGGTGTGTCTCTCTCGGTGTATGTATGCCGGTGTGTCTCTCTCGGTGTATGTATGCCGGTGTGTCTCTCTCGGTGTATGTATGTCGGTGTGTATGTGCATTTTGGTGGGTCGGGGAGGGTTCCCCCCCCTGGTAATAAGAGACGGGCACGGGACCGTGCCACCAACACACGGGGGACATGGAGACGCAGTGGAGCTCTGCAAGACACCGACTTGCTTCACGCAAGGATACGTACCAGCGGGGGTTGGGGAGTCGCAGGTCAGGGCAGGGGATCAGGAGGAGGAGGAGGAAGAGGGGGAGGAGTACACCACCAACGCCAATCAGGAGGAGTACAACACAATGCGACACTGGAGGACGCGGGTGAAAGCCACCCGGCAATGTCCGTCACAGCTTGCAAACCCTCCATACCATACGGCTTCCTTCTTAGTTTTTTTCTCAAACGTCGCGCCGTCGCTGCAACCGCCACCGTTGCAAAAAGCCACACCTGAGCTCTCATTCACCCATGTCGTACTCCATCGTACATACACACACCTGTGCAATCTCCCCCGCCTCCAGCAGCTCCATCAGCTCTTCCTCGTCCTCCAAACCCAAATCACCGTACGGATCAAGATATGGATTTGGATCCGAATCGTCCAAATCCATGTGTCCATGATTATGATCAAAGGAGGCCAAATCCACACCCTCGCCGCCAGATGCTGCCCGCGCTGCTGCTCCTGCTCCATGAGACGCTCCCCCGACAAGGCCAGTGGCGGCGGTAATCTTTGTCCGACCCACGGGTCCGACATCGGATTGCCAGACCTGCACAATGGTACCTGGGGGCAACCCAGTGCCTCCGGCGACGTCGAAGGCCTCCTGCCACACCACCGGCGTACGCGGGGGGCCGCGGCTGCCACCACCACTATCGCTACCGCCGTTGACAATACCCCGCAGGACTCGGCTCATGTAATACGCCTGGCGGGGCAGCAGGGAGTGTGTGTGTGTGCGTGCGTGTGCGTGTGCGTGTGTGTGTGTGCGTGTGTGTGTGATGTACTCCAGCATTGTTCAATGGACAGATTAAGTTTCCTCCTTGACCATCACCCCCACCCCCACCCCCACCCGGGGGTGGCATCAAGGTGGATGCAGTCTTCGGCAGATGATGGTGGGTGCATGATGATGACCGGTTCAACGGCGGCGCGCCACCGAGAGCAAGGGAGGGGCATGCGTGCCCCCCCCCCGGGTTCCTTGTCTTTTCACCTTCCTCGCCCAGCCCGAATGTCATCACGAACGAAACAACGGGAACGCAACCTTTCTTTCTAGGTAGGTGTGCGGGACCTGACCTCCAGACGCAGTCGTACAGATGCAGCTGTCCCAAATGACCTCGAGGAGCCCTAGGCCCTAAGTCCTAAAACCCATCAAACACACCAGCACCCGCACCTACCTGAAGGGCCCTATACGCGCCATCGTCCTCACTGCAGCCAGCAAGGGGAGTACGGCAGTACGGCAGGTGGGGAAAAGACGAACCACGAGCGAGTGAGCGGCAGTAGGGGAGGTTAGGGAGCGGCAGCAGGTGCGGATGAGGGCCGAGTAGCTGCGTCCTGGGGTGGGTGGGGGGTCGCGGATAGCAGGTGCGGGGGGGTGCAGGGGGCAGGAGAGGAGGGGGGAGGAGGGGGGAGAGCTGCTACTGCTGCAACCGCAGTATGTGTGGGAGATTATGCTGACCGGTGTGTAATCGGTTATTATGCCTCCGTCTTCCCGCGCGGCTCTCGGTTCAGATGAGCTCCGCTGAGCCGATGCCAGTGCAGTGACATCAAATACACAAATACACACATCACCCAACACACGCACAGAGTTGCATGCACATACATCTATTATCACCTGCTAAGCCCGTGTGACTCCAACCACTGCCGTACAGCAGGGTCGCTCCGCCAGCAGTCCAGGTCAACTTCATCTCCCCCCGCGTGAAGGAGCGGATCGGGGAGCAGCGCCGCAGCAGCACCCAGTACGGCACCCACCGCCGCGTACGAGGCCTCCTGTGCCACACAACACAACACAACACAACGCAAGTTGACCGACCCGTGGGTTAGCGACCCGAGTGCTGCGCGAAAAATATTTCGCAGTTGGGAGGTTTTTTCCGGATGTATGTACACGCATATGCACATATGTATATATACATAGATGTATATGTATACAATGTATATACATATATACGCGTATGTACATATGTATGTATACATATACGTTTATGTATTTAATGTATATACATATATATGTATGTATATACGATCAAGCACACATTACCAAAGAGAACGGCTACGCAGCCCAGCCCGGCCGCGAACATACTTTGGTCGGATCCAGCACCCCGATGCGCCCTGCCCCCGCCGCCGCCGCCGCCGCCGCCGCCCCCGCCGCCGCCGCCGCCCCCGCCGCCGCCGCAGGACCCCCTCCCCCCTCCTCCATTTCCTTTCCCCCGCAGCGGCTCATGAGCTCCGGCAGGGCCCCGGCCCAAGAGGCGGGTGGCCCGGGGTGTCC